CAGAGTCACTGAGTGCGCTAAGTGAATGTATGTGATTTCACCTAGAGGACAGTGGCTGCCTGGTCAAGAGTAGGTAACCAGGCGGAGGGGCTGGGGCTGGCAGTGGCATTGGCGGAAGAGGTTCGGCGGCTGATGGCGGCTCAGGGTTGGAAACCTGTCTAATATTACCTCTAGGCCCGGGAGCCCTTCACTGGATTCGTAATGACATCCTTTCAAGAAGTCCCACTGCAGACTTCCAATTTTGCTCATGTCATCTTTCAAAATGTGGCCAAGAGTTATCTTCCTAATGCACACCGGGAATGTCATTGTACTTTTAACTCCGTATATTCATCCACATGCAAAAGACTGGGTTGGTATATTCAAGGTTGGATGGAGTACAGCTAGTGATTATTATACATTTCTATGGTCCCCTATGCCTGAACATTATGTAGAAGGATCAACAGTCAATTGCGTATTAGCATTTCAAGGATACTAGCTTCCAAATGATGACGGAGAATTTTATCAGTTCTGTTACATTACACATAAGGGTGAAAATCATCTGCTTCTGCCTCTGCTATAGGTATAAAGCCATAAATACCTTCTGCAGCAGAGACAAATTTTGACATGCTAACAAAGAGTCAAGTCTGTGAAATGACCAAAGAAATTGCTGGCAAAACTGAAAAATATAATAAATGCAAACAACTCTTACAGGATGAGAAAGCTAAATGCAGTAAATATGCTGATGAAATTGCAAAAATGGAGCTGAAATGGAAAGAAATTTCTGAAAATGTAAAACTCGAATTAGCTGAAGTAGAGGACAATTATAAACTTCGGCTGGCAGAGAAAAACAAAGAAATAAATATTCTGACTTCACAGTTGGAAAACTTCTCCAGGGATAAGGAACTTAAAAGGGGTGTAGAAAACCAAACAGAAAGGAAATGGAAGGTCATAAGCTTCAGCGCAGGTCTCACAGGATCTCAGTGCATGCTCAGAGCAAAATGGGCACATTCTTGTGCTGTCAAGTGCACAGCCAGCTCCACAGAATGGTAACCCTTACGCAACACAGGAAACAAGATGGAGCAGAGGGTGCCATTTACCCAGATGAAATCCAAAGGCCACCTGTGAGAGTCCCCTCTTGGGAAGACAATGTTGTCTGCAGCCAGCCAGCTCAAAACCTTAGCTGGTCTGATGGTTTACAGGACCCTGACCATAGAAAGAAGATGAAAATGTGCCCACTGCCCCTGATCCACCAAGCCAGCACTTATGTGGGCGTGGAGCAGGCTTTTGCTTTGACTCCAGCTTTGATGGTCACAAGAAGTGTCCCTTGTGTGAATTAATGTTCCCTCCCAACTATGATCAGAGCAAATTTGAAGAACATGTGGAGAGTCACTGGAAGGTGTCCCCAATGTGCAGTGAGCAGTTCCCTCCTGACTATGACCAGCAGGGGTTGGAAAGGCATGTTCAGGCCCATTTTGATCAGAATGTTCTACACTTTGACTACTCTTTACTAAGAGTTAATACATATTAGCAGTTTAAAAATATCACCTCAAATAGACCACTAAGGAGATGGTAAGTTGTCTTGCACCACTACAGCACTTTTCTGACTAAGTGCTACTTTGATTTTGGTGTTACTACGGTCACGCTCAGTCTTTGGCTCATCAATAACTATAATTTTAGCCTCTGTTGAGTGTTGTATTTCAAGCCCTAAAGGAAAACAACCTCCAACCCAGACTGATGTATCCTGCAAAATTATCTTTCAAAATTGATGGAGAAATAAGATACTTTCATAACAAAGAGCACCTTAGGAACTTCATGAATACCAAACCAGCACTCCAAAAAATTGTAGACAATATCCTAGGAAAAGACAATGAGGATCACAACCCCAGGAAGCCCAGCAGAATGAATCCGTCAGGCACAACAAGAAATTAAAAGCAAAGGGGAGGATCAAACAAAAAGTAAAAGTCATGACAATGATAACTCAATACATGTCAGTTATAACCATCAGTGTTAATGGTCTCAATTCACCAATCAATAGAAATAGACTGGCAGAATGGGTCAAGAAGCAAGATCCAACAATATGCTTCATACAAGAAACACATTTAATTCAAAAAGAAACTCATAGACTGAAAGTTAAAGGGTGGAAAACAATACTCCATGTGACAGGAATCCCCCAACCCCCCCCAAAAAA